GACCATGCTGAGGCCGCGTCCCACATACAGCAACTAAAAGGCTGTGCAACTATGACATACAACTATCTACTGGGGCTTTGGGGAAAAATAAATAAATAAATAGGACTACATTTCACCTTGATTGTTGAAAATTTACTGTCCCAATTAGGATGTGCTGTAAGTGTAAAATACAGATTGGGTTTCGAAGATCTAGTACCAAAAAAAAAAAGAATAAAATACCTCATTAATAATGTTTATATTACTTACATGTTTAAATGAGACTATTTGGGACATACTGGGTTAAATAAAATATATTATTAAAATTAACAGCTCATTTCTTTTCATTTTTTTAAATGTGGCTACTGGAAAATTTTAAATTTCATACATGACACATTACATTTCTGTTGGACAGCACTGATATAAACTATTCAATAACTATTGCAAGTATTTGAGTAGGAGATTGATATGATTAAAATTTTCATTTGGGGTAATTCGTCTAGCGCTGGTATGTGATGAATTAATTTTTGAAGGAAATTGGAGGAGGGAAGACCCCTTAGAAAGTGATAAGGATCTAGGAGCTGGGATTTAGGATCAGTTGGAGTGATGAATGGTTGAAACCCATTTTAGACAGGAAAATCAACATTTCTCCAATTTTTTCTTTCTTCACCCTGTGGGTTTATTTTCTACAGTGTTTTCAGATTTAAAATGAACTCGGCCTATACCTAACCTAATAAAGGAAGATTGAAAAATAAGATACTGTAACAAAAGTTGTTCTTTATAAGGAATATTACAAATACAAGCAAAGAGTAGAATTAACTTTGGCAGTCTTTAGAGCAGTCACTAGCTCTTTGTGTGCCTTGAAATGCCATTTACATTGTTCTGTGAAAGAGGCAGTTTTCCCTGTCTTTACCTCGAAGTGTTTAAAGCCCTGTATTCTCTGATTTTCCGATTTTTGGTTTGTTTGTTTTCCCACTTGGTTATCACACTAGCAAACATCCTCCCATAAAGTAGCATGAAGCTAGGATTGAGATATACAGTCTGCAGATATTTGCATTTGGATCTAAGATATTTCAAACTATTATTCCATTCATTTTCTTTCTTCTAAGCAGACCTACATTAAACTATTAGATGGGAATTTCATAATATTCCTCTCCAATCTATTCTATTTTGACATGTATCCACCACATTCCCTCCTCTTTTGTTTTCAGTAAAGATGGAAGAACATCTCACAGGAATCAAGTGACAGAGGATATGTGTTTTAGGGCATTTACCTTGCTGGTCTACCTTGGCATACTCCCTCTAGATGGATCACTAGAGCTGTCTCCTGACCGAGTGGAGCTTCGAATCTAGTGGGACCTACTCCCAAAGTGCACTGAAGACCTCAGTCAACCAACCAATCTCCCCAAAACGCATCACTGCCTAACTTGGATGTCTCTGTTACTCTGGGGACAAGTCCAGTATTGAACTGGTTTCTGAGCCTCAGGAGCTTATCAGGCTCCACTTGCTGGAGAAGCATTTGTCTCAATATGTTCAGCATACCTGTAGATGCTTGAGATTCAGTTGAATTCATTATAACCTTTAAAATATATATATTTCTAGAAGTAGAACACTCTCTCCTGCTTAGCTTTTTTTTTCTTTTTTATTGAGGTAACATTGATTTATAACACTGTATAAATTTCAGGTGCATATCATTATATTTCACCTTCTGTATCTGTATATACTATGTCGTGTTCCCCACCAAAAGTCTAGTTGCCATCCGTCACTGTAGACATGGGCCCCTTGACCCCTTTCCCCTTCGCCCAACCTCCCTCTTTCCCCCTGGTAACCACCAATCTGTTCTCTGTATTTTTGTGTGTGTTTGTTCATCTTCTGCATATGAGTGAAATCATACACTATTTGTCTTTCTCTATTAGACTTATTTTGCTTAGCATAATACCCTCAAGGTCCACCCATGTTGTTGCAAATGGCACAATTTCATCTTTTTTATGGCTGAGTAGTATTCCATTATGTGGAGAGAGAGAGAGAGATATATACACACCACATCTTCTTTATCCATTCATCTGTCATTGGGCACTTAGGTTGTTTCCTAGTCTTGGCTATTGTGGATAATGCTGCAATGAACATAGGGGTACATATATCTTTTCAAATTAGTGTTTTGCGTTCTTTGGATAAATACCCAGAAATGGAACAGCTGGATTGTATGGTAGTTCTGTTTTTAGTTTTTAAAGATTTTATTTATTTTTTTTTTCCCTCCAAAGCCCCAGTAGATTGTTGTATGTCATAGCTGCACATCCTTCTAGTTCCTGTATGTGGGACGCGGCCTCAGCATGGCCGGAGAAGCGGTGCGTCCGTGCACGCCCGGGATCCGAACCCGGGCCGCCAGCAGCGGAGCCCGCGCACTTAACTGCTAAGCCACGGGGCTGGCCCCTGTTTTTAGTTTTTAAAGTTAATTTTCTCAGATTGAGTTTAGCCAGAGAAAACAAGTTTCAGATCTGTCTTCCTTTCACCCTCCCTCCTTTTTTTACCAAGAAAATATTCTACAGATTTCAAACATCTAAAACTTTACCCTCAGTATTGTCTTTCTCCATAGCTGTTTTACACAAATTATTTTGGAACAGATGTATTCCTGGGCCTTCACAATTATTTCATTTATTCTTTCAATAAATATTGGTCAGATAATTACTGGAGCAAACGCTGTGTTCTGGAAGTACATTGAAGCCTGCTCTAAGTAAATGAAGAGGTAAGACAGACCTACTTTTTACTCTCACTCATGTCATTTACTCTTGGAAAACATTAAAGAATAATTATTCTAAGGCTAGGGAGAGGGAGAAAGAAAAGACCAAGTGATTTAAAGCCAAGAATGACATTGTGAGACAAATAATAAATAAAAGTCAAAGATAAAAAACATTGGAGAAAAAAGGAGAGGAAAAGAGGACAACGTGGTCTTAATATCAGCTGCAAGGTCCAGCTGCGAGCCTGAGGAATTGAATTGTTAATTTTAATTGATTTAAAAGTGAAGCAATTGAAAATATTTTCCCATTAAACACAACTTTGTTGTTTTGATAGAATAACATATTACTTTAACTGTAGAAAACTTAGAGTCTAAAATGGAGATCTGTTGTAAATGTAAAATATACACTGGATTTTGAAGACTTAGTAGGAAAAAAAAGTAAATTATCTTATTAATAATTTTTATATTGATTACATGCTGAAATGATAGTATTTTGGATATATTGGGTCAAATAAAATAATTATTAAAATTAATTTCTCTTGTTTCTTTTTAAATTTTTAATGTGGCTACTGGAAATTTTAATATTTCTTAAGTGGCTTGAATTATATTTCTATTGGACAGCGCTGCCCTACAGGATATTCTTTGTCCTTCGCTGCTAAATTCAGTTGCTGTGGTAACTAAAGGGGCCTCTAGGCCCAGTGTTTCCTGGAAAACCAGGATGAGATGGGGGAGGGGAAGTGTGAACTCAGGGAATGTTTTCTTGGATGTCATCTTTCACTTGTCCTCAGTTCTCTTAGCTAACAGTCAGATTTAGAACATACTCTCATTTAAGGGAGGGAAACATCTGGTTTGTTTCAGGTCCAGTAGTATCGATTTGAATTGTAGGTCTTCAACCAAAACCCCACAGGAAGGCGCACTTCCTCCGCTACATACTGGAAAAATTGTATCCGTTTACCAGGCTTCTTTCACCTAACACCCTCTTCCCCCATACTGAAGGGGTTGCTAGGCTACAAATTAATGGCCATTAGGAATTTGACTTTTGATATTTCCCCTCCAGCAAAGCTTTGATATTATCTGTCACTTACCCAACTCTTTAACCACAACTAAATTGTTTTGCTTTGTTTACTCACACTGGAGCTACCTCTCTCTCTCCTTTTGTCATCCTTCATCTTCCACTGTTCACATTGTCCTTATCTGTTTTTCTTACTCATCTTGCTCAGTTTTCTTTCATAGCTTAGTAATCATATATTTATCTGACGCAAGAAATTCACAGTCTATAATTACTAGGATATTGATAATTCTCTCCATCTGTGTAAGAATCAGTTGGCCTTGCCCTTTTTTATTTTTTATGTGGAAGAAGGGAAATACTATAAATTCCTTAAGGGTCAGGATTTTTTTGTCCTTTATACTGATGAATCCGCAACTTCTTGGAGAGGACCTGATACATAGTATGTGCTCAGCAAATACCTGAATTTGATAATTGTTCCATCTCTAGATGCTGTAAACCTGAGACGAGGGGCAAAACATTGCAGAATGGCTAGAATTCAGAACGGATGGTATGGTGAATGCTGTGTTAAGGACTTTGGATTGTGTTCCACAGGCAGTTGGTTCTCTCTTTCCTGCAGCCTGGGAGAGTTGGTCTGGCTCCTGGGTATTCAGGTTTCCTTCCTCCCAGGAAAGATTATGCTAATCAGAAGACAAGTAGAGCCAAAAACTAGCCCAATTTTTCCCTCCCTTTTCTTCTCTCAGATTGTCCTTCCCTCTCCTTCAAGATTGTAGACCCAGCCTACAATCAAAAAGCGGCTGATAAATTTATAGGATTATGAATTCTTTCTGCTTACACTCCTTCAAACAACCTTAATTCTCAGATAGCAGCACCCACTCAACTTTGCCTTACATAGATAATAATTGTTCTCATCTCTTCATAGATTGATTTCATTCAGAGCAAATGTGAGAGCAGAAGATAAAACGTATTTGCCCTCCCTCCAGGCTTTTCTGGTAGCATTTTGTCTGTGAAACTAAGAGGCTGTAGCTGCTATTAAAAGAGGGAAGGAGGATGGGCTTAAAAAAACGGAGTGGGGAGGGTAAAGGATGTGGTTTTAAAAGGAGGGGAGGGAGTGACTCGTTGCCTAGGGTGGGGCCAGAATTTGAGGTCAAAAAATTCTCAGAGGTCATGAGATTACTTGGGGGCGGGTATAGGGTGGGGCTGGGGGAGGCGGGGGCTTGTCCCCTTCCAGGCTCCACCCTTTGTAGAGATTATAAATGGGTGCCTGGCGTCATCTCTGAACAGTGTGGGTGAGATATAGGAGCACATCTGAGGACTTGAAGGAAAACTTGCTGCCGAGGACATTTTGAAGGTTTTGTTGGCTGGAAGAGGTGTTTCTGGAATCCCACTCCTAGATCTTTCTTGAAGATTCGAAAAGAATTAAATTAGGGCCATGGGGACACAGAAGGTAAGAATGACACAATTACCAGTTATTTTTGCTTGTTTGGGGTACGCTCAGAAAGGCAAACCTTAATGGTGATTGCTGTGTTCTATTTTATTGTAAGTGGCCTAGCCATGTGAAGGCCTTTGCATTCTTCAGCCTGCAATGCTACAGCCTCACCAGTTCTCTTTGAATGTCATATCCTATAAAGGATTTATCCCAGCACCGTTCATCTTCTGTTGTACGGAAAGTCACCTGGTGAAGTTGTGTTTGCATCTCAGATTTTTTTTTTTTCCTTACATAATTACACGCTCCTGAGGATGTGAGGATGGGAAGATAGAGTGTTGAGGGGACCAGGGGCTGTTTGATTGTGTTGATCACAAGTGTGGGTCTCAGAGCCAGCATAAGGATTTCTCTGGAAGCATTAGACCTTGAAAGGACCTGGAATTTGTCTGGAGGCATGGGTCAGTGCCCAGCTATCTGTTCTATAACCTCTGGGATCCCCTGGATACTAAGGAGGGAGAATTCCAGTTGTCCGTCCTACTGTGGTTATGATTGTGAGTGCAGGATATATTAATGTATTATTGTGTGTCATGTGTGCAGTATTTGTAGGGAAAAAGGCATTTTCACTAAGGTAAACTTATTTGAAAATAAAGGAAGATAAGAGAAGGGATGAAAAAATGGGAAAGAAGAGGAAAAAGCCCTCAAGGATAATAAACGATAAGGAAAAAAAGAAGAGGTTTTTACTAAAAAGAAAAGGATTAAACAGAACGAACTATGCACTGGCAGGGGGCCTCAGGGGTACTTATGCCTGTATGCCTGGGAGGCAAGGTCAGCTTGGGGAACTGAAACTCCCAACCTGCCTGAGAGAGAAGGAGTTTAAGATAAGGAAGGTTTGGGGGCCATAGAGGATGGCCCCAGGCAGAAAAATTGAGCTACTATGAGGAGGAAAGCTTAGATAACACCCACTTGAATTATTCCCGACCAGGTGAGAGATGACTGGGTTGATTGATTCTGCCCTCTCCTCCCCCAAGAAATGTCTCCTCTGTGTTGGGTTGGGAGTGAGCTTGTGCTCTCCCCCTGCTGGGTGCGGGGTAGCAGTACAGTATTAAATAAATGGGAGGAATTTCAAATGGGGCCAGAATGCAGTGGGTAGATAGTGTACATTCCATGATCCAGAGAGATAAGAGACTCAAGGAGTAGCCCAGTGGTGAAGACGCACGCCGCCATCACCACTCCGGGCTTCTGTGGAATCTGGGGTACAGGTAGACTACACTGGATCTAGCTGTTTCCCAAATAATCCCTTGTTAGGAATCCTAAAGCTCTCTTTTCCTCTGCTCTCCCAGTTGTTTCTATTCTTGGGTGCAATTCTATGCTTGCTTTTACCTGGGGCAGTTTTTTGAATGCTTCTAAACTGACTAACCCAGTTCTTCCTTCCTAAATTTTTTTGCCACTTTTCCCAAGTTTACTCGACATGTCTGTCCATATAGCTCCAGATAACTTCTTCAGTATAACCTCTTCTTTTGTGTTCCCCATTCATTACCTAAATCTCATTAAATTTTTGTTCTTTTCATACTACTCATAGGCCAAGTTCTCCTAATATGTCTCCGTAATTAATAAGAGACAGTCATCAATCAAGAGCTTTAAGGACTGTTTCTCCCCTTCCTCCTCCCTCCCCTCAGGTTACCGCATCTCTGATCTTTGCCATCAGCGTTGCTACAATAGGCTCTTTCCAGTTTGGCTACAACACTGGAGTCATCAATGCTCCTGAGATGGTGAGTACCCAGCGACTAGAGTTAGAATTTTGAATAGGGAAATTATTCCTTTAAGTAGGGTTTCGAGAATTAAGAGTTTAAGACAAACTTGGTATCTAGCTTGGCTAAGACTGAAGAGGGGGAATAATATTGATAGGAAAGTCTAGTTGAATCACTAATCAAATCAAAAAGCTCAGTTGCTTCCTGTACCCTGCACTGTACTCATTCTTCCTCTCACCCTCTAATGATATACTCCCTTTATGATTCCTTAGGGGTTAGTTACAAAGAAGAACGGGGTGCTCTTAAGAGAAGGCTGGGGTAGTTACTGAACATGAGTGCTACTACCTACTGGGATTTTCAGGACAAATAAAAAATTGTTCTTTTCAGAGCGAGTAACATTAACTCCAGTATGTTATCTGTCTCTTCCATCCCCATCTATTCATTCCCTTGATTCTCTGCCTTTAAAGTAATCATGATGCTGTTCTCTTAAGGAAGAGAAAATCTGCAATATTTGTCTCTTTTCTCATCTGACTGTAACAGTCTGTCCTCCCATCGACCATTTTAACTTGCAGATCATAAAGGACTTCCTCAATTACAGTTTGGAAGAGAGGTTAGAAGACCCTCCCACTGAGATGTTACTCACGTCTCTCTGGTCCTTGTCTGTGGCCATCTTCTCCGTTGGTGGTATGATTGGCTCCTTTTCCGTTGGACTCTTCGTCAACCGCTTTGGCAGGTATTGACCAGAAACTGGGCGAGGAAGAGAGTAGTACTGGTTGCATAGAGGACAGGTATTGAGAATTAGGGCGGGGAGGTGGTAATGCATTTGAATGAGAGCACCTCAAATTCTGATTAAGGGAAACCTAGTCCAACTGGCACTGAATATGACTGCTCTTGCTTGGAGCTCTACTACCCTGCATAGCTTCCACCCAGCCATCAAGAGATGGGCCATGTGAATGATTGGCCTTTGCAGTTAGCTTAAGCTAATTCAGAGTTATTCTCTAGTAAAGCCCACTATGGAGTTTCCCAGAAACATACTTTATTTACAAAGTCAGAAGTTGTTTGTTTTTCTTAAAAATTTTTGGGTTTCATACAAGTATTTTCATTATTTTACACAGCAGGACTGGTAGGAAATATTTTATAATCCTTGATCTGTGGCAAATGTGGATAATGGCCAAATACCTGAACTGAAAATTGTTTTCCAGTAAAAAGAAAATTAAATCTTCTCACTCATGGCTGGCTTAATAAAATATCTTGGAGGGTAGAATAATAATTAGAGGTAGTTTGCTAATTAGATGTTCTGGAAATGCAAATGGAGTTCAAGTTTTAAAAAAAATTAAAACAACCTATTTTATTTAGTAATGTTTGATTTTTGTTTTGTTTTTTTGTTTTTGAGGCTACCTTTTATCTAGTAAAGTCATTAAAATTTTAATGTGGGCCTCCCATAACTAACATGGCTTTCTTTACTGTTATTTTATTAGCAAAAGAACCTAGTAGAGGAGGGGGGAAATAGGGAAAGGAATGAAGAGAAAGGTGAAAGTGTGAATGAGGGATGATATTTTTCTCTTACCAGTGGTTCTCTACCTTGGCTGCACATTTGGGATCTCCTGGGGGAGCTTATAAAAGTCCCAGTTCTGGGCCACACCCCAAGCCAATTAAATCATCATCTCTGGAGATAGGACCCATGTATCGGTATTTTTCAACGCTCCCTAAGGAACTCCAATGGGCCACACCAAATCGAGAGTCACTGTTGAAGTATTATAGTGCTGGTTCTTCCCAACATCCTTAGTAATTTTTCATTGTTAATCTTTTGCCTCTGTCTTCTCTCAGCTGTGATGGTGACTTTGTCTCCCATGGTTAGCACATAAATGCAGTAATTATTTTATACTGATTATTAATACTAATTGTTAATGGCATCGCCACAGTCTAGCCTAGAGAAGGAGAGCTAAAGCTGACTACTTTCTGCATAAAATTTTCTGTGATGTAGAAAAACTTGTCTGAAATAGTCTACCATTAGTATGTTGGTGATATCTAAGCAACTACATTATAATAAAATGCAGTAAAAAGCATAACAAGATCAGCACTGATTCAGAATTTTTTCCTGAGTGAGTTCGTGGATCTGGCTATATCAGAATTGCCTAGGGCAGTAGTTCTCAAACTTTAGCTCGCATCAAATCACCTGGAGGGCTTTTTAGAACACAGATTGCTGGGCCCCGCCCCAGAATCAGACCTACTGATTTAGTAATTCTGGGGCGGGGTGGGACAGTTTAGCAAATTTCTACCTGATGCTAGTTTGTGGACCACTTTGAGAACTACTGGCCTAAAGTGCTTGCTAGAATCCTAGGCTATAACTAAGACTTAGGATAATCTTAAACAAGTTCTCTAGGTAAGTTTTATGCATATAGAGGTGTAAGAACCATTAATCCTAGTTATCCCAACTAGAAATGTTCTGATAAGAGAAAGTGGACAAGTTAGACCATATAGGAGCTTGGAGAAGAGTAGAATGATAGGAAAGAAGGAGAGATTGGGGCCTATTTTGCTAACTTCACTTGTCTTTGTTTAACCTTTCAGGCGCAATTCAATGCTTATTGCCAACCTGTTGGCTGTCGCTGGTGGCTGCCTTATGGGGTTCTGCAAAGTAGCGGAGTCATTTGAAATGCTGATTCTGGGCCGATTGGTTATTGGCCTCTTCTGCGGCCTCTGTACAGGTTTTGTGCCCATGTACATTGGAGAGATATCTCCTACTGCCCTACGGGGGGCCTTTGGCACTCTCAACCAGCTGGGCATCGTCATCGGGATTCTGGTGGCCCAGGTACTGTGGAAGTTATACTTAAGGAATGTTAGTTTCATGGCTCATTAAATGAGTTAACATGGATAAATTACTCAAAAGAATGTCTGGCACATATTCAACTGTATATAAGTTTCAGATATTATTACTATAGCTCATAGAAAGCTAAAGAAGCAGGCACGGTAGAGAAAGGAAAGGAAACATAATTTATCTTTTTCTGTGGTGAAAGAATGGATGAGTTTCTGATACTACAGTATTATCTTTGTCTGGTTTCTAGATCTTTGGTCTGAAAGTCATCTTGGGAACTGAAAAGCTTTGGCCCCTGCTATTGGCCTTCACCATCATTCCAGCTATCCTACAAAGTGCGGCCCTTCCGTTTTGCCCCGAAAGTCCTAGATTCTTGCTCATTAACAGAAAGGAAGAGGAGGGTACTAAGAAGAGTGAGTATTTTTCACACCTTCACTATAGGAATTTTAGGGTTGTGGTTTGTTTTAAGAAGAGAGTATTGGATCTATTTTTTGTCGTCTCCTTTCCCTGGCCCCTAGAACCCAAGTGGAGAGTTTTCTGATTGCTCTTAAGTAAGAAACTTTCAACTCTTAAAGAAGGTGGTGAGGGCCGGCCCCGTGGCTTAGCGGTTAAGTGCGCACGCTCCTCCACTGCTGGTGGCCCGGGTTCGGATCCCGGTCGTGCACCGACGCACCGCTTCTCCGGCCATGCTGAGGCCGCGTCCCACATACAGCAACTAGAAGGATGTGCAGCTATGGCATACAAGTATCTACTGGGGCTTTGGGGGAAAAAAATAAATAAATAAAATCTTAAAAAAAAAAGAATGAGGTGAGAAGGCAAGTTAAGGCATGGATGCTGATTGATCAGCAATATCCAGGCCTCATCTCATGTGGTTTCTTTCCAACTGTCTTACGGGAAAAAAGAATTTAGGATAGCACCTTATATTTATCCTTTCCTCTTTGTTCTTTTCACTAGTCCTCCAGCGATTGTGGGGCACTCAGGATGTGACTCAGGACATCCAGGAGATGAAAGATGAGAGTGTTAGGATGGCACAGGAAAAGCAAGTCACTGTGCTGGAGCTCTTTAGAGCACCCAACTACCTGCAGCCCATCATCATTGCCATCATGCTCCAGCTCTCTCAGCAGCTCTCTGGAATCAATGCTGTGAGTATCTACTTGTGTCAAAGGTATCCTATAATACTTCACTTAAAACAGCTGACCAGAGGTGAAGAGCAGTAGTCGTTGCTCACCTTCTTACATAGAGAGTCCCTTACAATGCTTGCCTCATAGCAGCCACTCAGAAAATGTTGATTATCTAGGTTTTGATTTGGTTTTGTTTTTATTTCTTAAAATTATATCTGTAGTACATGGTTTCCATGTGGAAAAATGAGAAAATAAAATTTGTCACCCTTAGTCTTGGAACTTATGGTTAACATTTGTCTTCTTCCAGACTTTTCAACATATAAGGCATCACAAATTTATCTAATTTTCATTATTTCTCTTTTTTGACCACTCATTTTTTATTTCTGGTCATGTTTAACTGTGATCTATCTTACATGATGTCATCAATGTTAATATAGGCCATACAACCAAAGTAGATCCAAGAACTTAGGGGCCAGCCCAGTGGCATAGCAATTAAATTCTGCTTTGGCGGCCTGGGGTTCGCTGGTTCAGATCCTGGGCGCAGACCTGCTCACCGCTCATCAAGCCCTTCTGGAACGGCGGCCCATATAGAAGAGCTGCAACTCTACAACTACGTACTGGGACTTAGGGGAGAAAGAAACAAAAAGAGGAAGAGTGGCAACAGATGTTAACAAAGAGCCAATCTTCCTCAAAAAAAAAAAAAAAAAAAGAATTTATATACCTTGGCTTTTTTCCAGGACTTTACAGTCTAAAAATCAGTGTGAAGCCCTGGGGAACAATTAAGGAAATCAATTCAAGAGGTCTGGGGGGCACACTGACAACTTCAGACTGAGCTGGGCTTACTGCTCTACATATTTTTAAACTAGAATAGTGACTATGATAGTTTAAAGTGGGAGGCAAAATGGAGGCTAGCATTTGGCAGGTAGCCCTCGTATTCTACGCAAATATCACTTTCTTGCTTTTGAATCTTGGGTGTGGGAAGAGAAGGTATTCCTATACCTTCTATCTGTTTGCAGATAAAATATTAGGATATGAAGAACACCCTTGTCTCACCTCTTTAAATACTGATTCATGCCCTGAGGGTTTCCCATCAGTCTTCGATCAATACGATTAAGTAGTTTTGTAACAAAGCATTTTGCAAAACACACTTGATACTGAAAATAGTGTTAGTCCTTGGCCTTTTCTCTTCCCTAACAGACCAGAAGGATACTTATATTTGAAATAGCAGTGCTTCTCATGAGGGCTTAGAGACTGTTGTATCAGAACCTGGGAGGAAGATAGTCTGAAAAAGCCTGTCACGTGATTTTGATGGATCCCAGTCTCAAATTTCCTCATTTGAAAAATCACTAATAAAATATACTCTCAAGACTTTTAAAAGCAGCAGGGCTGGGACTAGAATGAGGCTATAGGTGCAGGTGCATGGTCCTGAGAAGGAGCCTTCCTTAGATTATGCACCCTAGGCACCTTGCTTGCCTCACCACAGTCCGGGCCCCGAAAAACAGGATCAGAAAAAGACCGCTCTCAGAAAATGACAAATGATAGATGAGCACTCTGCAGGACAGACCCCTCCCACTTCAGGAAATGGTGTATGAAAATCACTTTTCCAACCTACATTTGAGCAAATTTCCCTTAAAAAAGGCAGAAGCGTAAGAGGTTGGATAGTGTTTACCTAGCGAAGTAAACTGCTTTTAGGTAAGATGATGTAAGGGTTAGCTTAACCTAACTTAATGGCACCAGATAGCAAGGTAATTTTACTGTGAGAAGTTTGTTTGAGATGTGTATGTATACATTCGGTTTTTGATGTGTACACTTTTATGTAAGGAAGAGAATTAGCATAACTATTCATTGCTAGTTTTAACTGTTCAAACGTCTGTCCTCACAAGCTTTATATCATTAAAGATTATTGGAAATTTTTAAGTCTTCCTTACCTCACCCTTGCTTCTCCTCTAGAGCAGCATTTTTCAGTGAGGATGACACTACTAATCTCAGTTTTAAAAAGCACAACCTTATTTTAGAAAATAAAAATATACATAGGTTTTATCTTAGGTTGTAGGCATTTGACGAGTTGTTTCCTGAAAAGGTAAATCCCAATGTGGAGGCATATATTCATCAAGAAGTCTGGCGAATACTGCTACAGAGGCAAATACTCTGGGTGGAATAACTCCTGAACCACACCTGAGGGACTGACTGAACCTGAGTGATCTAGATACTGTTCCCGTGTTACCTTGAAGTCTGAGTCCAATATTCTGACATCTTTTTAACTATAACAGTTGTAGCAACCCTACGTTTTAGCACTGTGTTTAGCAAATAATAAAAATAGTATATATTAAATAGTAGTTTAATATATTAAATTAAAGTAGTAGCTGGTGTTATTTCCTAAAACACTTAGGACCTAGGACTAGGAATTCTAGCCCAAGTTCTTCTATATAGATGAGCAGGCTGAGGTTACTCCTCAGTTTCTTCACTAGCAAATTGGGACATCAATCTGCCTATCACTGTTTTGAGAGAAGGGGAAAAGTCCATTGAAAAAGCTTATTAAGACTTAAATTGGGGCTGGCCCTGTGGCTTAGCAGTTAAGTGCGCGCGCTCCGCTACTGGCGGCCTGGGTTCGGATCCGGGTGTGCACCGACACACCGCTTCTCCGGCCATGCTGAGGCCGCGTCCCACATACAGCAACTAGAAGGATGTGCAGCTATGACATACAACTATCT